CTGTCACGTAAAGCTCGATTCGGTATCAACCTGTCTATTAAAAACGGATTCCGTGTTATTGGTGACGTTGGATCTCTTGCTAACCAGTCGATAATAGCCGTTCGTTCATAACTATTTCCATCGGGATCCATTACTGGATCCGACATAACTTCATGAGTTATTGGACAAAGAAAACTCTCTGGGTAATTTATTCGACTGACGCTCATACCCAAGCACGAAAAAAAATCGTGAAGCGGGCACTGCATCTTACTAGTAAGATTAGATTTCTAAAGATATGAGAAATTTAGGAATCTGTATTTGTTTCACAATGACAATGTGAAGCGTCTTCTTTCTTAGTCCTTTTTATATTCATGTATTTCTTATTTTATGTTACCTATGGCGCGTTTCTCACTTGGACGTATTGCTCATGTACGTGGAAATAAAACCTAAATCATCCTACCTTTATGACGCCAATGTCTCTTTTGTAAAGAAGGAAAATGAGAAAAAACAAACACTGTCATGCTTTATTCAGTATGGGACGCTTTCAGTTTGTTTCAGTTGTTGTATGGAACTTTTTCCCTTTTCTGTTTTTCTCTATTCTCATCTTGCAAACATTGACAGATGGATTTTATTTAATCATATTTATTCAAACAACTACTCGAATCATAAAGATTCATTACAAGTTGTATTATGCACAAACATACTCTTTAGAACGGAGGACGAGAACAGAAAACAATAGACACAGGTGATAAGCGGAACGAGGTAGCGAAAATTAAATAAAGGAGGAGATTTCGCACTATTCAAAGTAACAGCTGATCAGACAGAAGTATGAAGTGGCTATTTTTACATCGATTTTTCAATTGAAAACTAGCTTAGTAGATAGAGTTTGATGCGATATGTCTACAGTCAAAATTTGACTTTTTTAACGATCAACTTGAAATTCGACGTTCTCATGACTTTCTGATGTTGTAGTTAGATACTGGGGTCAATCGGAATCGTATTTCATAGTTTTTGAAAAAAGAAAGCTGTCTTTGAATCTAACTGTTTCACCTACGAATAGAGAACAGCTTTCTATGTATGTGCAGAATTATCCTCTCACACAAAAGCGTGTTTCAACCACGTCTCATTACACGACGAGAGGCATTCTCTTCTCCACCTCAGGATCCACTTCATTTGAATTTTGATGGCTTCGTACATTTCATTGCAAAGTGTTCCGTGACTGAATTTTCCCTCCTTTTCATGCCTCAAATGTGCTTTACTTCGGTTCATTTCTTGTGCGTTGGCAGAAGCAATGAGAGAAGAGTACAATCAAGCGATTTTCTCATTCTTAGTCTGCATGCACGGCATTATCAATGATTAATGCAGGAAGGTTCTAGTATCTCTTTCTAGAAAAAAACATTCCCACACTTCTTTACATTAAGGGGTAGAAACCAGTCTATTGACTATTTATGTACGTCGTTTAAGAGGGAGGACACAGTGTGCATCCAGGTGAGCTTTTGGTGAAAAAATGAAGGTTGATTTTTCAGTGATTCAAATAGTGATTAATATACTCTGAACTATACTCTGTTCGATAGTAAAAAAAAATTTCCTGCGAATAATTTAAGCTGGGAAAAACATACGAACAAAAATTGCACTGAAAACCATGTTAAGCGATGGTGTCGCCGGTAAATCGGATTGCACGCAAAACCAAGGTAAGCCATGAGACAAACAAACACATATTCAGAATCTGCATCCAGTCCGCTACCGATTGGTAAAAAAGTTTCAATTTTTGGGCCTTCCAAGCCGAACAAACCAAATAAAACATTTTTCTATCGAATTCTCCAAAGCGACGTGTTTGACAAAATACGTGCGCCAACTTTAGCTTAACTCCAATTTTGATGAAACTTTTACAGAATGTGGTCCTATGTATGACACGTCTATACAGGTAGCGAAAACTTGCGAAAAGTTTCCTGTCCCGAGTTATTGATTTTCCAGAAAAACCTCGGTTTTTCAGGTATTTTCCATTTTTAAAGGCTAGAATCGTTTGAAATTCGATAATAATACCATATTCGGAATCAGCGCTAAAAACTGCATCGAATGGTATAGAATCGACCTCTAGTGGATGCAAAACAATTCTCCGAAAAATTCAAGCTTGCTCAAGTAGATGTTCTTACACATGTGATTAAATTCGTCTTCGAATTTTCAGAAATATTTTCGAAAACTTCGAAATGCATTCCTACCACCACCAGCAGATTCTCTAGCTAAGAAATCCATGAATGACAGTTTTTCCAAGAAAAGGTTTTCTAGAAACCTCCAAGGTTTTCCAAAAAACCTTCCATAAGGTATTTGGAAAGTTTCTGACTTCACCATAGGAAAGAGCATTTGCTGAAACCTATTTGCGGAAATTTCCAGTTCATTAGACGAAATTTTTTTCAAGTTATAGCTAATGCTCGCCTGCTATGCGAAAAATGCACACTCTGGAGGGGAACCTTTTTTGCCCATTTTTTAAAATTTAAATAAAATTTTTTATTCCATTTTTAAACAATCTAGGTCTCTGAATGATGATTAGAAAAGTTCACCCTTAAGAAAAAATTGTAGCACTCCTACCAGTGTGGCCAAAAATTCATATTTTTTCGCACGAGAGTGCATCCCAGCTGTCCGCTTCTTTTCGAGCTGATATTTTATCCATAATTAACTTTGGTGAGGTATAAAGATTGACATAAACTGCACTTTCAGCAGATAGCTCTCTTAGTGTTTTTCTGAGCAATTCAGGGAAATAGGAATTTGGCAGCAGATGGAGTCTTCTTTAAACTCTACTCTCTGCTCTTTTATTTTCTATGGACTGCGCCTAATTTAATGTAAAAGACAAAAAGAAGAATCAATTTTATCAAGATTAGTTAGAAGCAACTCATAAATGCTTTGCAAAAGTGTTGACAATTATGTTTTGACCAATGGTAGGACGGTATAAACTGTTCACTATTCAGCCAATCGATTACATCGCCCAGTTGTATAGATACCGTATGAGTATCGATTGTCCAAACATCGGAATCATTTGCTTTATTTGCACAACGAAGCCCGGCATAATCTGTTTCTCTCTGCGACATTTTTTGTTCCATCACAATGGTTCCGTCCGTCCAAATCTGTACAATATAATAATGAGCATTAGTTCTAATTTCAATCCATTCATGTTGAATTGGGGTCGACTGCCCAAATGAAACGGTGTTTGCAACGGCTGTGGCCAACCAGCTGTAACTTCCGTGGAGTATCCGACAGCCACGATGTCGAATTCCACTAACCAATTCATCTCTATTTCCACACGTGCGAACATTGCCGTGAGAATATGATCCGAAAGCCCCAATCGGTACAATAAACAAACGATCTCCTGTGGAGGCTATAGCATCAGACACGTCTTTCATAGCATTAGCAATCATGTAACTAGTCTCTGTGAACACATTAGCTGCTCTTCGTAGTTGACCAGTTTGAATCCATGATTCGCTCATTTGTTTCCTAAATACAATCTTAGTCAAATTTTTACCGCAATTCGATAGATTGAAAACTCACTATGAATCTCTGTATGATCTTCAAGTATAGACTTATTTTTATTTATTGTTGTCCGATAAAGTAATAATACTTCAAACGACTTGCTCTACCCTATATAAAATTAGACGACTTTTGAAATATTATTCATCGTATATTGAAAAACAAGTAGTTTAGCAAATGGAGGGACTTTTCCTTACTCATCATCTCTTGCCTGTGTGACGTAATATGGTGAAATTTCTACTCTTATTCGTTTACAACGAGAAGTCAGCCATCGAAAACGTTCTAAGTAAAATGATTCAACGTCAATTTAAAAAGAATGAAAGAGAAAGAAAATAAAAAGTAAATATGTATTTTTTTAATGACCTATAGTAATGAGTCCAAACTCGATCGATAAAAAAGCAAATGTTTACTTTTACTTTTCATTTGTCGTTTCTGTCATACGGCCTGCGAACGCATATCAGAGTAACTTATGACTGTTCTCTTTCCTTCTTACATATCGTGTTTCGTTTTTCTGTAAGGTGCCTCTAATGCAAATTTGATTTGATTTTTCTTTTATTGAAATAAGGTGAAATAGAATATGAGATAGTGATGAAAGTTTACCGTTTCTTTACAAGTAACGCGGCAACGTGTTGCGTTACCGTGACCTGTAACGCAAAAGCGTTTCTTTACCCTGTAAAGTAACTAACTCACCTGTGATGATAAAGTGCCACCCCTACAGCCCGTTGTCACTTGCCCAATCGGACAATATTGCCTGAACAGGTAACTTGATGGTTCGGACAAGGTCTGATCTCGGGAACCATCAGTCATCTAATGAACGGAAAGTGTTCATTCTACTCCTCATGCATTGATTATTCACCGTATAGTAAAGTTAAATGTTCAACCGTCTTTCTCTTTTATGACAAAGACGAATAGCAAACAGCTCAATTTTACGCAATTTACCTTGCCCGATTTGGCAATATTGCTCGTTCAGGCCAGATTGACCAGATTGGCGCCATAGCTTTGATTTATGTGCTAATTCGTTGAAAGAAAAAAATGTGGAAATCTTGCCGAAACGGGTAAGATACTATTTGCTCGATCGGACGAAAATGAGGCTTCTTGCCTGATCGGTCCGATTGCCCGTTCCGACAGTAAACCCCTAGAAGATGCTTCTTCCCCACTCTGGCAAAATACGCACCTCTCCACTGTGGGTAAGCATCATTTTACGCAGTTGCCCCAGTAGTTTTTTCTCTAAATATTTGATCTTCCTTTCAATTATCTTCTAGCAACGACACTTTTCCGATCAATAGGACCGTTATCGATCTCAATTGTTGCATTCAAATTCCGGCTCCTGCTCTGAAGTTTCTTATTAACAGCTTTCTTTCGATTTTCACCTCTATTTCTCTTTTTCATAGCTTTCGACATCTACCAAGTAATATCACTCTTGAACTCGCTCAGCATAGGAGTGAGTACTAAAAACAACAACAATTTCTGTTATTCATATACTACCAGCATTATAATTTTACAGAAATAAGCACGAATCTGGATCAAACCAGACAAATGCACTTAACTGGTCGTCGTTTTTTTCGGTTTTAGAAGTTCAGCAAGGTAATTGGAGTGATATTTTCACTGAATCTCGCACCTCCGGTTTCTGATGGAAAAAGCGGGGAAACCTTACTTCAAAAAAACTTGAATGCATAGATGCGACTGTTCCGTTTTTTGATGAGATTTTTTTTTCTTTTTGCATTTATTTTCTGTTGGATAGTTTCGCCAGCGTATACTTGTCTCAGGTAAAGTCGCGTTTCGCCAATAGACATTCGCCAAATTGACATGGCCAGCAGTAATACCCCTTTCGCCGATACCTCTAAACTGCTGACAAATATCTCGGCGACATTCGCCTGTACCTGTCCTCCGTATCCATTGGAGTGTGTATATGCGCGTTTTTCTCCGTTAAATAGTTCCTAATATGAAGATTTATGGTACCTCAACTTTCATATGTGTAATTTTCGCAATTTAAATGGTTTTTTTCTTGCAATAAATTATCCAGTGTTTGTAACCTCCTACCATTCTATCGATATTCAGCACCAACGGCAAGACTTATCTTATTTTGTAGTGTTCGACGAGCTGAATTGAATGTCGAAAACTGCAGGTATAATCTTTGTTAGAAATCAAGTTATAGCCATTTTACACTCTCAGCGGAAAAGTGCATTTTTCGTCATTTTCCGGCGTATTTGGCTTAACTTGTAAAACATATTCTGACCACAGACTCTAACGTAGAATCTTGAGCTTAGTCTCCGATGAAAGAGCGCATCGCTATTTCTCTATGCCTGTAGGTTTCAACGGAAAACCATTATGCTAGATGTGTAAGTATTCAGAAAAAGATTTCTAAAAGCCTCGGTTTTCCAGACAATCTGACAACCTTAGAATTCATTTTCAAATATTTTCAATTGCTCCCTCAGACAGTTTTCTACAAAGCGAGATATCAACCAGGGCTTTACGATGTACTATCAGAAAATACCATAGGAAATACGATGCGGATCAAAAAATAACAGCGGAAAGAAATGCATCATTTTTGGTTCCTTTCGCCGTCTACCGGCGAAAGTTGAACTGGCGAACTGCGACACATTCAACATTCTGGTTGTTTTCAGTTGAATCAAATTAGTTACGATCTGAAAAGTTTGACGAATAGAAAACAATAACTATTGTTATAACATAACTTCCATCCGCTTTCCTAGTGATTCTGATAGAGCTTTTCGCGTTGATGATACAGGGCTCATTTTTTTGTGACTATAGGCAACCTGCAGCTCATCTTATAGTAAAAGTTTCACATTGACTTTACGATTTTCTGCAGATGTGGCCCACGAAGGGTCAGTTGCCAACGTGCTGCAGTATATCTCTCAACTGAAAGCAAATGGAGGCTTCAAATGTTTACAATAAGATTTGACAGGCCGTCTATACACACGGAAAATTGACCTCCGTTCGTCGAGTCCTCCTAGAGATATAGGGCTTCCCAAAACCCCTTCTGGCAGGGCTACTGCTGTTTGGAGCTTGTCGTAGAACTTCGGTATAAAATGGAGATTTCAATATTTTTCAAATCGGCTTTCGTCAAAAATTATCAAAATTTTTGCTCTGTTTATGTATGAAATTAAGCAAAATCCGAGATGATCGACTAAGAACCATTCGCTTTATCGGTCAAGGTTTATATGGACTGACTACATCGATTTTTCAATTGAAAACTAGCTCAGTAGATAGAGTTTGATGCGATATATCTACAGTCAAAATTTGACTTTTTTTAATGGCCAACTAGAAATTCGAAGAACTGACTGCTATTTCTTTTTCTGCTATCCGAATATCACAATGGTTTTTCGCCAAAGATCTCTGGAGATCCTAGTTTTTCAGAAAATCTAAAATATAACGCGACTCTTTCTTAATAAGCTCTGCTTGTAGCCTACACATTTCTGATTAAAATGAGACATCTCCCAGCTCTACACGACCTTTCTTTGCAAAGTTGTAGAATTTACAAGAAAAGCCCTAAATTAAGTTCTTCTTATTTCTGTAGCTTAAAGCTGACAATGAACATTTAGGGCTTTTATTATAAATTCTATAACTTTGCAAACAAAGATTGTGTAGAGTTGGGAGATGTCTCATTTTAATCAGAAATGAGCAGGTTACAATCAGGTCTTATTAAGAAAGGTTTTGGTTATTTTTTAGATTTTCTGAAAAACTGGTTTTCCAAAAACTAGGATCTCCAGAGACCTTTGGGGAAAAACCATTGTGATATTTGGATTCAGCACACTCGTTTGCTTATTATCCACTAAGTTTTAAGCGAAAAGCGATGGACAGTTGGTGGCCTTCCATCGTCAGAAAGATATTGCCTAGGAGCAATTGATGTATAAAGAAAATTTACCGATGACTATTCGTAGACGTAATATTCATCATAGTCACGCTAACTGATGGTAAAATGATGTAAAGTAAGATACAACAAAACAAATTATATATTTTTTAACAGAATAAAGTGTAAGTGGTTCTATCGTTGGTCTTTATCTTAGCGTCTTCTTCTACGCCTTCTTGAGAATTTACAAACACGTATCTACATGCTTCACAATTTGCCTTTCTATGTGGAAAACCTCGAGGATAACCGTAACTGAAATTAGAGTCTTCCTCGAAACCATCAACAACAATAATCCCGTAAATGTTGTCAAGTATTTGTCTAACAAGTAAATAAATGGCTGACAATATTTGATAATAATTATAGTTACCAGGGAAAAACGTTTTGCTATCACATGTTGTCTAAATCGTTTCATGTCAATTCGACCATAATTATAACAATAATCAAACTGATATTGAAATAATATTGTTGAACATGCTGAATTTCAGCTACGTCTACATATTTCACAATAAAATCTGAAGAGAAGATCAACACTTATACTTATAGTGTGTATGAAAAATAAATTAATTATGTCTCTTACCTTGTTCTGGTATAATATTTAACTTGAAGTCAATCTGGTACATTAATGTTTCTGTTGTAAGGTTTGCAAAATGCCCATTTAGGTGGTAAATGAACGTTATAGTAAAAACACCAATAAAAGTCATTGAATGACATTTTTTGATACCTTTAAGTAATTAATAATAGTTGTTGATGTTATTGCCAAACGGTAAAACAACGCCGAATAAGAAACTTCAAACCCATTGTATCATTTTGCCTATTCATACATACATAAGAAAAGATTCTACAGTATACAAACTGTAGAAAAGAAAAAAAGAAAAAGAAAAAAAAGGAATATACATGCATTAGCAGAGAGAAGTCTTAGTGAAGTGTCGAAGGAAAAGAGGAATTAAGTAGAGATTAAAACCGTTGAGTATTTTTTAAACAGTTGATCACAAGATGTAGTTGGCATATTTGAGAGTCATCCATGTTTTGAATTTTCTAACAAAAGAGTACGTTTAAGGGCCCTCCCTCCTCAGAAATGGTGATTTTCGGTCAAAAAATCGGTTTTGAGATACGCACATGAAAAGATAGCCTGAAGTGTCTACTTCCAGAATCTGTATTGCTTTTGGTTACAAAAGTGGTTTTGCCGGGATTTTGAGCAAATTTTCTAAGAGCCTCGAAAAACTGGTCTTCAAATAATGTTTTTTTTCCTGGATACTTACGCAATTCAAATTTTTCTTGTTCTTGTTCGACAGTTGGCCACGTTGTATTGTCAAATGGTTGATTGTTAGGTACAGGTTCGCCATCTTCAATGATTCCTCTCCATCCACCAGCATGGGGTAGTGTCCAGGCCAAATACAAGAAAAACGGCTGTTCTGGATAGCTTTCGACTCGATTTTTGATTAGTTCAAATGCTCGATTAGTGAATAGATCGTGACTATAATTGCATGTTTGTGGTTGACTCATACATCTTTGGCGAGAAGCACCTCGATTTAATGGCAATGGTATTTGAGTTTCATTTTCCATGACATAATCTGGATAATAGTTATGAATAATATTTTGATCGGTGATACCATAATGTTTGTAAGCCGTTTTTACGAGTTTGTTGTATATTTGAAGTCATTTTGTATACTTTATCTCCTAGTTTATTTATTCAATCCAAACGTTACGGTGTTTTATACACCTTCTTCAGTGGATAAATAATTAAGAAAACACAAAATTGAGCGATAAGAAATATAAAGCTAAAATTCATAACATCTAAACACGTAAAAGAGGATATTGATAAGAATCACTACTTTTTCACTACTTTTCCTTTCTCTCTCGGTCTTAAGTTATGAGTTCTGTTGATGTCAGGCGGTTTTTCGGCTCTCACGAATAGACGTCCGGATCCTCTTTTCACCCACCTATGTATGGTTGGAAGCCATTGACTACATATTATTTGTTTATTATTATATCCGTTATTAACCAATGTGTATATCGTTTCCAGCCTTTTTCGCCTATATTTATTCTGTTCTCTATCATAGATGACAGTCTCATCAAACCTAATGTGGCATTCATCCGTAGATATACTGTGTTTAGCTAATTCGGAATCGCCACAATTATCCCCTCGTAATGCTCGATCAACATACGACTGATGTTCACCTTCTCTTATTTATCCACTGAAGAAGGTGTATAAAACACCGAAACGTTTGGATTGAATAAATAAACTACGAGATAAAGTATACAAAATGACTTCAAAGATACCATAATAATAATCAAATCCATGATGTCTCACCCAACCAGTTGTACCAAGATTTCCTAAGCCCCAATTGGCGAGGGTGAGAGTGAGCCGAGCAACCATTGCGCGTTTCGAAGTCCGCTATGAATTCTCATCAGATGACTTTGATTAGTAGCTAATAATTTTTCTATTAAAATCATCACAAATACATAAGTGAGAAGTAATGATGCGCCCAATTTTTAGCAGAAAAAAGTTTGGAAAGATCACATCCTTTTTACTGGAAGAGCGTTTGGAGAGTCAAGAGATTATTGTTAAGAAGCACTCTGAAGCGAACACAAGCGGTAACAATTACCTCGTAGCCGTATTATCTGAAGAAGTGGTTGTTGCACCAGTTGCTGGCTGCAGATCCTTCGAGCACATCTGTTCTCGTTTGGTACAAAAGTAATCCTAGTTGGTATAAATTCCAGTTTTCGAATGACTCTTGTCAAGAATACTCCTCTACCATGACAGATTTCTCGTGATTTTTATTGAATATCTGTTTTAAGGTACTCAGGGTTCATCGCTGAACCAATTTAACAATCCAAATGGTCTGGCTCTTGATTCGCGTAGAGGCATGCTATACATAGCGGACACGAACAACCACAGAATCATGTCTTATCCCTCCTCTGGTGCAGCAGCCGGCACTGTCGCGTTCGGTTTGAGTGGTCAAGGGTCATCCAACACTCAACTGAATGGACCAATGGGTCTATATCTTGATATGTCATCAAACAGTCTATATATTGCCAACTACTGCGGCAATAATATACTCCGTTGGGTGGTCACCTGGACGCTGATCATTAACAGGATGATAAACTGAATGAAAAAGAAGTATCATATATAGAAAAAAGTCTTTTTCTTTTCTCTTATGTTGAAGCAAGGACGAACGCAGTAGATAAGAATATAGACCAATCCAATGAAAAAATAATAGTTCTTCGTTTGAGCGAGGTGACATACTGCATTATTATTACTGATATGAAAAGCTACCTGATTGTGTAAAAGTATTCATCATCTTGCTAGGTGTATTCGATTTGTTTGACAATAACCAGAGACGATCCCATTTAAGCAGCATTTAGCGGTGTCAATATATCATCACAAAAAGTACTTAATAATGCATCAATTCTATGTTATTTTAGTCCTGATAGCTCAAGCAGTGTGCCAGATTAGTGCCGAACGACGGCCAAATATTATTATGGTGTTGGCCGATGATCTAGGTTATTGCGAAAGTGAACCTTATGCTTGTCACATTCCAGAAGGACATGATCAACCTCGAATGTCCACCCCCAATTTGGTTAGATTTGCGCAAGAAGGTCTCAAATTCACCAACAGTTATAGTGGTGCTCCCATATGCGCTTCGTCGAGATGTACACTGATGACTGGCCTGCATAATGGACATTCAAGAATCAGAGGCAATAAGCAACTGGACGGTGGTGACTGGCCATTAGAACCGACTGATATCACCGTTGCAGATGTTCTCAAATCTGCTGGATATTATACAGCACTGGTTGGCAAATGGGGCTTAGGAAATCTTGGTACAACTGGTTGGGTGAGAGATCATGGATTTGATTATTATTATGGTATCACCGATCAAAATATTATTCATAACTATTATCCAGATTATGTCATGGAAAATGAAACTCAAATACCATTGCCATTAAATCGAGGTGCTTCTCGCCAAAGATGTATGAGTCAACCACAAACATGCAATTATAGTCACGATCTATTCACTAATCGAGCATTTGAACTAATCAAAAATCGAGTCGAAAGCTATCCAGAACAGCCGTTTTTCTTGTATTTGGCCTGGACACTACCCCATGCTGGTGGATGGAGAGGAATCATTGAAGATGGCGAACCTGTACCTAACAATCAACCATTTGACAATACAACGTGGCCAACTGTCGAACAAGACCATGCAGCGATGATTAGTTCATATCTAGATCGAGACTTTGGACGATTGATGGCGTTGCTCGATGAACTAGGCATTGATGATGATACACTCGTCTGGTTTGCATCGGATAATGGTGCTCATAACGAAGGCGGTCATTCGTATCAATTTTTTAATAGTACTGGGCCACTTCGAGGTTTCAAACGTTCTCTGTATGAAGGAGGAATGCGAACACCTCAGATCATTCGCTGGCCAAAGAAGATTGCTCCCAACACTCAAACAGATTTGATCACCACATTTGCTGACTTTCTTCCTACTGTTGCTGAGCTAGCTGCTGTACAACACTTATCGGATACTTTTGATGGTATATCCATTGTACCAACTTTGATGAATAACAGTGCTGCACAAGTACAACATTTATATATCTATTTTGAGTTTTGTACGAACTTTGAATGGGGTAATGCAGTTCGATTTCAACAATGGAAACTAGTTCGTTTTAGTATTCATGAACCTTATCAATTATATGATTTAGACAATGACATTGGAGAAACTCACGATCTATCCCAAAAGCATTCAGAAGTTGTGAGCCTACTGACTTCATTTGCGATATTAGCTCACACAGATTCTGAACCTTTTCCAATTCAGAATTGTTCAAACAGTTTTCTTCACTAGTTACAACAAGTTTTGGACGATTGAATTTCCTAAATCAGTTCGATTTTTTACTTTATTTATTCTACAAGTAGCACTCATCGAAGCGATTCGCTTGACCCTCGACTGTAACTTTATTTATTCCCAGAAATCTATTGAAAAAAATACGACATCTTCATTCATGTCCTCAGAGTATCCTTTCACCGTTATAGCCAGCTTCGATGACGACGATTAGATGGTCGCGTTACTTTAGTAATGACCATTGCTGACTTGACCAGTGGAAACTCCATATCAGGCTAATGAGAAACTTTGATGCTATCTCCGAAAAAGAGCATCCGGAAAGGTTCTTTTAGCTTGTCCAAGTGTAACGCAATGACGTTTTGGCCACCTTGTGAGTAGTTTTTCTCAGTACTTGAAGCACCCAGGAATTTCGTTTCTTTGATGGATAGATACATCTCTTATAGCTCTTTCACTCTCCTACAGTTCAAGTCGGTTGCACGCGATCATTGACCAACTGTATAAGGAATACTTCGCCAAACGCGATGACCAAAAAAGGACAAAAAATTGTGGGTGCTCTACTTTTTCTTCGTTTTTCTCCGATTTTATTCTATTGTTTCAGACCTCTTGTTGTTGGGTGGTGGAAGACACTTTCGTCTATTCAGTGAGAGAAAAATAACTCTCTGCAAACCTTTCATGAAGGGTGATATTTCCGTGACATTGTCGTTACGCGGTGATGAAAACTCGAAAAATGAGTGCTACTAAAACTGAGTTTTTCTGAGATATGAGAGCAACTCGTTAAAGAAAAAGTGTAAGAGCAATCTCTTGTCCCTGTCACACTCATAAAGAACTGATGTATGATACTGCTTTTCACTTGACTTTAATATACGTTTTTTTTTGTTTGATGAAAAAAGGCGTGAACATATTCATTAATCAACTGGTGGTAATATGCATCTTCGTACATTTTGTACTCAATATTTTCAATCAACAAGTTCAATGCACATTTATATCTAGAATCAATAATTCAACCATTAATTAAACTTGGTAAATCAATTGCTATTTTGACAACTGATAATAGTCCAGACCAGTCAGGAAAAAGTCCATGTAATGTTTATAATTATAGGCAATTATGGGAAAAATAAAATTTAGATGTACTGTTTAGAATGGTTAACAGAAACCAAAAGGAATCTCATGAACAAGAAACACAGACAGATGAAGTATGTCTCAAGATCAGTGCTGCAATACGATACTATCAGTTATTCACAAATAATGCATACTTTTTCAGCCATTTCGCAGTAGTCGATTAATAACAGGTTATGGTATTGGATTGCGTGAAGATAATTATGATTTTAATGATGACGAAGATTGTTATGATTGAGAAACATTAAGGTCCCCCGTCAGAAATAATCTCCGACATCATACATCCGATCTTGACGAAACTTCGCATAAATGTTTGGCTTAATAAGTTACGGGAATAAAAAAATTTTTCTGTCTTCAAGTCTTACCGTTTAAATGTATGATTATATTGAGTTGTATAAATATAAGGTGAGCTGGATAAATCGTCGATCAATCGTCAACAAAACCTATTCAGTTTTTAATCTATTAAAGTTTAGTCATGAAAGAAAAAAGTTCTTTTTGTTTTATATTTTTCTTGTTAGTCTTTTAGATTTCAGCGAAGAAAACAATTCGAAATCCGAAAACCTGTTATATTTATAGATCTCGAATGTCTTTTACCTCTGCACTTGAATGCATGTTTAAGCATTTAGATTGATTTTATGTCAGGTTTAGGATATTTCGTCGATGAAACAATTAGTGATCATTTTGCTTTCTGTTAAACATACTTTTGTTATAATTAATAGAATAAAACAAAGCCGAATCAGTAGCAAGGCAGAACACAGTCCATTGTAATACAGTTTATAGATATCCACAGCGGATGGATAGCCTCTTATCTGTTTTCTTGATACGTAATGCATTTGAACCACAGCAATGGAAAAAAAGTAGCTGAATGCGAGCATAGTCTGTATTTGAATCTTAAAAGCTAAGTAAAACCTGATTATTTATTTTTGTCATTCAGCGAGGAACAATTAAGCAAACAAATATAATGTGATTTTATTATTTCTGCAGTGTCTTTTAGCATCATTATGGCTTGAACGACTTACACTTCTATATAACTTTTTCTTGTGTCATGAGAAAATAAGAACGAACTACAACCGTCTAATTAGCACTCTGTTCGTAGCTTAGTGTCAGCGGACCAGAAGAAAAAGTGAACTTAAAAAAAAGACGTCTCCATTTTTCTCTTTTCGTTCCATATACTGGTCGACGTTCTTGTCTCTTGCCATTTCAGACAAGAATCCTCAATTTTTCCTTAATAGATCCAACAAGATTCTTCTTTTAATTTTTTATCTTTTTCGTTAAAGATTCTTGTTTGAAGTGGCAAGATTCGTTCACGCCAAAATCACCAATTTGTTTTGTCAATTCCCATGCTATATATAAGTTACATAATATAGCTCAATGCTATCCACAGATGCTTTTAAAAAGTTTTTTAAATCTCATAAGATTCGTGTCGAGAGACCATCGAGTCTTTACGTGTGCCTGTATTGGCAGCACACCGCCCAGCTCCTATATATATATGAAAAGAAAAGACGACGAAAAATGGATTATATATGCATTCTATTTGTTTGCAAGATCTTTTTAAATAGTAAGCGTAAAATTTAGAAATTGCTGTGAAACCGTTTTCATTTGGAAATTATTTTTAAACTTTATTAATAAAAAACAAAACAATGTGATTCTCTGTCAAGACTCGACTGAAAAAAAATTATATCAGGACAACTTATAATTCTAAATTTTATAAAAATTCCGTTGATCTCCATTTTCAGGTAATATTCATATGTATATGAGCAGTGGACTCCAAGAATTCAAGTTTTTAGACAGACTTTAATTTTCTATAGATCAGTGCCTCTAAAATAATTGTAAAAGCAAGATATTTTGAGTACAGATGACAAATAAGTAAGTTGCCAAACAAGAGAAACATTATGTCTCAAATGTGAAAAGTGAATGCTGTAAACTAGCGACTTCACTTAATTTCATCCTTTCTCTATTCTGCATGAACCAACTAGAAAATAGCAGTCCATATTTTCTTTTAGATATGTGGACTCCTTAACTGTGGCTAAAAGCAGGCAGACAACGCTAAAACTCTACGCCCAGCGCATCTTCTTTTTCTCCAAAATAATGCGAAAAAGTGGAATTTCGTGCATGATTATTGAAAAGAAGCCATAATAACAATATGCCGGCCAAATGCGATAGAAACAGAGTTGAGCACAAGCGATAAATGCGAATTTGACGCCAAATGGTTGTAATGAACTCTCGTTTAGTTGTTCTAATGCATTGTTTTATTCCTGTTCGCGCGTACCATTTTGCTTGATAGCTGAGGAGATACACGAGTTCTGTATAACATAAAATATTATTTGTCTCCTTTGTGATTTTGCTCAGTCACAGTAAAACTTGAATAGTCACCATGATAGAACAATCTCTTCCTTGCAACACATAAGGTATATATGTCGTCACTCTTGGTATAGTCGACAATAACTTCTCTATAATATATAAGAAAAAGAATATGTGAATAATTCAAAAGACGAAGGCAGATGGATGTTTGTTGGCAGTAGCTGAGAGGTGAAAACTGACTCATCTTTGACAGTAAACGTTTCTGGAAGTTGCAAAAAAACATTTGTTCAAGGAAGAAAAATGAAAATAGATTTACTCTATTGGAGTATATAAATAGAGTGTGTATGCCAGTGGAAATGACAGAGGTTGTATGATAAAGACGGTTCGTTTGGCTTGAAACTATGATCAGAGGTATGCTTTTTATAAAATCTCTTAAACTTTGAACACTGATTTTAATTCTGTTTCGTGTCTTTATTAAAGATTTACTCGTCTTTTATGTCCTCTTCTCACTTCCAGTTTCTGAAGACTTTCGAGAGGGTTTAAGAGAGAGAGCAGTTGCATTAAATTCCTTCTAGTGTAATCTAGATAATCGGGGGTAAATATAAATCACGTAAATAGTAAAGATTAATCAAAAATTTTTCAAAATATTTTATTATTCTAACAAGATTCTTGTTGAAAAACGTGAGAACTTTAACATATGCCTTTGTTGGCATATGTACGACTATGCTGCTGCATATATAAAGAGAAACATAATTGATGCCACAGTTCTCTACTCATTTACAGTTAGTTACACAAGAGAATTTCTGTTTTACATTAGGTCAATCAAATTCAAGTGCATTAAGAGACACAGTTCTCGAAGTACCGACAGTTACATGGGAAGATATTGGTGGATTGGACGATGTTAAGCGAGAATTACAAGAATTAGTACAATATTCCGTCGAACATTCAGAAAAATTTTCAAAATATGATGTAACATCATCGAGAGGAGTGCTGTTTTATGGACCACCTGGTTGTGGTAAGTAGAAGACTTTCTACGAGTAAAAAACTGCTCGACTAGCAATAGTAAATAAGTTTATTCTTTTCTCTTTAAATATTTGTTCTCTTTTTTTGGCTTCTAATATGACGTGTTGTGTTTCAGGTAAAACATTATTAGCAAAAGCTATTGCCAATGAATGTCGAGTCAATTTCTTATCCGTAAAAGGTCCCGAATTGTTAACAATGTGGTTTGGGGGAACCGAAGCAAATGTTCGTGATATATTTAATAAGGCTCGTCAGGCAGCACCATGTATATTGTTCTTCGATGACTTAGATTCAATTGCTAAATCACATGAAGGAAATGCTAATAATGGAGGTGGAGCAGGTGATCGTGTTTTAAATCAAATCTTAACTGAAATGGATGGAATGGGAGCGACGAAAAATGTCTTTATTTTCGCAGCAACGAATCGTCCAGATATTATTGATTCAGCGTTACTACGTCCAGGTACGATATCTTCTAAGTGAATACACAGCTTTAAATAACTGAACTACGTTCAAAAAAAATTCAGATAGATTGACACCAAAATTGTTAGATTTGGTAGATTCGTCGCTTTCAATAATTGAGATACTTTGATAGAAATCCATGCGCTTCTCGTAATCTTGTGTGAAATTTGAAACAGTTGCGATGAAATTCATTCTGAAATTTAGATTACTAAACATCTCGCTCTAACTAGTTTGTTTTCTTCGTGTGCTCTAGGTCGTCTTGATCAACTTATTTATATTCCATTACCAGATGCGAAAGCCCGTATAGCTATATTCAAAACAGTATTACGTAAATCTCCCGTCTCAAAAGACGTTGATGTTGAATCTATAGCTATCGAATTAAAGGGATTTAGTGGCGCTGATATAACTGAAATTTGTCATCGTGCATGCAAAGTAGCCATACGTGAATCAATTGAAAAAGAGCGTCAGCGAGATCGAGAAACAGCGATAGATGATGAATTTGACTCCGTGCCAGAAATTCGACGTGATCATTTCGAAGAAGCGATGAAATTTGCACGACGTAGTATTTCAGATAAAGATGTTTATAAATATGAAATGTTCGCACAAACATTACAACAATCAAGAGGTTTCGGTTCATCATTTCGTTTTCCAGAACAACAACAGCCAAATCCATCACAAGGTAGTGAACATGGTACGGTGCACGATACGGACGATTTATATGATTAACATAGAGAAATAAAAACCATTGAACAGTTTTGTAGTCTAACTATTCGAGAACTTTCGTTTTTTTGGTTTTCGTCCTGTTGTCAGATCTGTTGAGACTTTTTAAAGTTTGGAGAAAAATGAAAAATATTCTTTTTTTTAGAACAAAACTGTCGTCTCACGAATCGCTCCAAAGTTGGAGGCTATTTAATTCTTTATTACTTTGTTGAGAAAATAACTTTTTTTGATTATTCGAACCCTTATAACTCCTTGACAACAACGACAGACATACTCTGTTTTCTTTTACGTAAAAGTTGTAGTTTATTCTTCTGAGTTGTGTGCGTCTCACGAAGGAACTCATTGACTAGTTTCTTATGTACAAAAAATGCATATTTTTGTATTTAATTTATCAATGTTATACCTGAAATTTTTCTTGCTGTTTTGTTTTTATTGATGAAATATGGTTTTTACTACCTTAAAAATAGATCATCATTAATAAAGACAACAAAGTGAAATGAAAATCTAAAAGTTATGTCGATTTGAAAACTAACTTACCTAGTTTTGTGTAAGAGCAGATACATTAGATTTTACAGATATATTAGATAAATCGGACCGTTTGAGACATACTATAGGGTGTAAAATCAGAGTAGCAAGTGTTCATTCTCTAGCAAGAAACGTTTGTTTTATTTTGTGAATTTACTCGCTCGAAATGCATGATACGCTCGACTAATTCAATTGAGTTTAGCCTTAGAACTCTTGTATTTACTTGATTTTTACTCTTAATAAAAGTGCTTGTTTGAACATTTCATATCCACATTTATGCATTTCGTAGAATTCTTGGATCTTTGTTCTTATTTTGATGAGATCGTAAAAAGTAGCTTCTAGTAAAAGTTGTATAATATGAAATACTATTTGGTTTTTTTTTCAGTCCCAGTAAAACTTGAATAGTCACCATGATAGAACAATCTCTTCCTTGCAACACATAAGGTATATATGTCGTCACTGTTGGTATAGTCGACAATAACTTCTGTGTAATATATAAGAAAAAGATTGATTTATTAAGGAATATGTGAATAATCCAAAAGACGAAGGCAGATGGATGTTTGCTGGCAGAAGCTGAGAGGTGAAAAATGGACTCATCTTTTTTACAGTAAACATTTCTAGAAGTTGCTACAAGAAAAAGATGCCTAGAAATTGTTATCCGTTTGAAATACACTTGTAGTTGGAAATAATTTCTAATTTATGGGAAATCGAGTTATAAAATGCTCACAGATAAATGCGAGAGAGAGGAGCCTAGTAGCGGCCCACAAATTATTTTATGATCTTGGCTTATCGCTGTTCCATGTGATACATAATAATGATTTCTAGGTTAAAAGTAAAAAGTCAACCGGACGGTTGTTGCAAGAAAATGTCCCTATAAATTTTTGAGAACGACTGGAATTGATCAGAAACCGTTTGTTGTTTATTTTTTAATCTTTCTGCACGTTAAAAGTTGATTGTAGACTACCATATGCTGAAATTTTTAATCATTTTTTGAGCATCGGTTCAAAAACCCTGTTTGATCGTATTTATTCAGTTTTCTCTGCAAGTTCGACGTTCTTAAGAGAATCTTATACACGAAAACATGTGTAATTAAACGGGGGCTAAAACAGCGACGCAGCCAGCATTTTTAGGAGAGGTGGGCACAAAGAATTTCTAATTTTCTAACACAGTTGTTTTCCCTCTTTTTACCGTTCTGAAGCACTTCTGTCGCCACTCGTCAGTAAATTTGCCCTTTTCCTAAGCACATTCCAACTTTTTCTACGAGTTAAGAATAAGAGAAATACATTCTTAAATCACATGCTAAAAAGCTGGTACATTATGATGAAACAGAACATTGTTTTGCTTAACGCATGGATAAGAGGGTATCGATCAATTATGACTACTAGTACACATCAGAAGAAAATACAGAACGAACCAGAGAAAATCTTTTTTTAATCTGCTTTACTTTCTATTCTAACTAAATCCAAAAAAAAATTCAACCCTTAGAGAAAATAAAACTCCAAAGAGTAGGCCCATGGCTGGGTACGTCGCTGCTGTAAAATGATATATAGCACATCTTTTCAAACTAATGTCTTCACAGGTTTATTTGACAAATACTTGTAATTCTACTAGTACAAAAAATAGTAAAAGCTGAAAGTATGTCATGTCACATTTTTCCCTAGCCGATTTACTAAATGTATATTATGAATAATATTACGTAAATAATATTACGATGTATATACGATCTGCATGCAGTTTTTCTTTACAAATCGTTTCAGAAAAAAATTTCTTACTAAACCTCCTCCCCCATAATAGAAGACAATCCCCTATTAGAAGACCACTGCCGATTATATGGCTTGAAAGCCAAATAGAAGACAATTATGTCCGCGAAAAAAATCCAATTTCGCCAAAACGTACTTCTAATACGGGACGGACTTCAAGTACGTGAGGTTACCGTTAGACTACTAGCAGGCGACAACATTTAACCGCAATGGAAGACCACCCTTTAGAACTTGACTTGCGGGACAGAATAGAAGGCTAGGTGGCCTGCTATTATGGGGGGGAGTTTATACCAAACGATAGACAATTTAATTCTACAAGATTGTATATTTATTTTTAAGATTCATCTTTGACGTTTGGCACAGTAAGTCTAACAGGAAAAGCTCCAAATTTTTAAACTGCACCCCGCAAGTTTAAAGTGCAAACTGCTCTCTTTTTTCAATTGCTTGTAATGAGTACAAAAGGATCTGAGGCGTGGTATCAGCTTTTGCCGAGAGTCCCAAGACTGGTATTATGTAACTTCGGATAACGTCTAAAGTAAATGGAAACATAGGTTATAGACCGCACTGAATCTCGTGGCGATGTTTCTCGTCAGATAAACGTGACTAAACCTAGTCAAACTGAGTTTTGACGAAAATACACCACTTTATCTATGAGTGTACGAAAGTAAAGCAAATATCTCGCTCAAAATCCAAGCAAACTGCTTGGAACCTTCAGAAAACACTCTCGTTTGCTTAATTTACCCGTTAACAATATTAGAAATGTAAAAACATCTATTTTTCTATTACCGAGATTTTCTGGAAATTTGTTATAAGAGAATATTAGTTTAGAACTGTTAGGTGCTCGTTATTTAGTTTAATCACTTTTATCTGACGAGACACATCACCACGAGATTCAGTGTGGTCGATAATCTATGTTTCCATTTACTTCAGAGGTTATCCGAAGTTACATAACAGTAGTCTTGGGGCTCGCAGCAAAACTGATACCATGTCTAAAACTGCTGAGGCTGAATCTACTAATGAACATACCATGTCAGTTCGTAGGAAATTTCACGAGCTTTGAAATGGTATATGACACAAAACATACATGTTTCTTTACTAGTATAACAAATGGTAAAAACTGAAAGTATGTTATGTCACATTTTTCCCCAGTCGATTTACTTCTGATTCAACTTTCAGGGACTGGTCTCATGGCTCTTGAAATTCTGAACAGACCAGTTTGTAGCAAATTTCATGAGCTTCGAAATGATATATATTAGAAAAATATGTGTTTTCTTGTTTGAGAGAAAAAGGAACCACACAAGCGAGAACTGTCTACTATAGTGTATATGTAGGAGCGCCCTACTATCAAAGCACTGCAGTTAATTGTTATTTTACACACACTCTGTAGAGAATTTTTGGGGGCTGTCCAATGGTATATTTACTTTGTCATCTAAGTGAAAAAAACATGAGAAAAACACTTTTTAGGTAACCTATAGCTGTTCTTTGAGGGATGAGCTATTGCTGTTGACGAAGAATTACTTGACTTTTAGTTACTAAAAGTACACGAAATTACTTAGAAGCGCATAAAAATACTTTTCTGCTACTCCCAGAACCGTTCTTAGGCAAAACATGAAGTGAACCGATTACTGACCTCATGTGAGCCTCTCCTTTCTTATTCCTTCCAAGTAAAGTCGGTGTTATCATTAGCTAAAATCCTTGTTGAAAAAGAAGAAATGTTGCTTGTTGAATTATTACTTCTAAAAAATCGTTTTCCATTTCAGGATAAGTAAAATACGACTAGTCACCTTGAAAAGCTTAAGAGAGCCGGTTTTTTCGTTCTTACAGTTAATATTACTAAGAGCGTTGCAAATTGTTTTATCCCTGAGAGAAACAGGAAAAAACCACTGCAGTAGTACTATGATGATTTACTCTTCCAGAAACTGAGAAATGAAAGATAATCGATAAAACTGACTTTCAGATCAGATTGGCAGTAGGGCTGTGACAGTTACCAGTTACCGTTACCATCGTTCCCCGTTACTAACGATAACGATAATTGACATAAAACTAATAAGCATCGTTCCTCGTTAGTAGACGTAATGGTAATTGATATACAGTAAGAAATCCTTTACCCTCCAGTAACGAGGAACGATGCTTATTAATTTTATATCAGTTACCGTTACCTCTAGTAACGGACAACGATGGTAACGGTAACTGGTAACTGTCATGCGCTAATCTAATTAAAATAACTGCTTGCTAATTCCTTCAAAAGTCATATGTGTGTAAAGCATATATTTACAGGAATTGTTAAATTGTCGTAATTGATAACATTTTGAACCAGTTAATCCATGAATTGAAATATCATCTCTTGTAAGATGAATGTAAATTTTCGCAGATTGTCTTTTTGTCCCATTTTTGAAACTAAAAACCCGACCGACCAAAATATTTTGCGATCCAAGCCTGACCCGACACAATCACTCTATAAAATTATCTGGTCCAGCCCCTGCTCATCTGTGATAGTGATCCTAGTGTTCCTGTATCTCTCACTTATCTCTCACTGAGATAGAAAGAGCCCTTGGTTCTAAAAAGGGCTTTGGTTCTTGATTCGAAAACGCGTTCGGGCAAGACGTTTTTGGAACAATTAAGGAAAACTGCGTCTGCGCGTATTTTTCCAGTGAGTAAGGAATTAAAAAGAAACTCATCTTAGCATATTGGACAAAACAGAAAGTTCGGAATAACAATGACAAAAAATATAAAAATTCATTCCGTTACACCCGTATGTCCTTTCCAAGGGGCATCATGTATCCGCGCAGCAAAGCAACATCACTTCAGTCCAGACATAACGAGGGTATACCGAAGAACTGTAAACTTCAATGCAGTAGTTATTTCAGCTGCAGCTATAATAAAAGTGTCTCCGAGTGTAAAGCATTAATGCAGTGAACAGAACTTAATGAAAGCATCTGCTGATGGAAATCTGAGTTGTTTTTGCATGGCAGGAAATGTCCTATTTCATTTTTCTTTAGCTATTTAATCACAGCACATCGAGAGGGATGCTTGATGCTGTTATTATTAGCGCAGAGTACTCTGTAAACCAGGATATATTATTCATAGAAAGGGGACTACTATCGGCTTCAGAATACAAGGCAATCGGTTAGTTTTTGCATAATTTTCGCAGAAATGACGTAGAGATCTGCGATTTTCGGTATTCGATAGCCAACACTTGTATGTACCTTTGAATAAGCAAAAATAATTTTAAAAAAAAATTCAAAGACCGGAATTTAACAGGATCTTTGGAAAACCAGGTCGTAACTCTGAGAACTAACATAGAAATATGTCGACTTTTTTCAGTGGGTTTATAGTCCGAACTGTCTTCTACAAAACTAGATCTAAAATTCTATCAAAAATCCACGGTTCGAGCCTGGCAAGACTTTTCGTCGAAGCATCGGTATTACCCTTCTGTTACGATTGGGACCAGTAAAAATGATTGCAAACGTAGGTTTTCGGCTATGATAAATCGCGTGGCAATGTTAGTTTTCAGAAAAAGATGCAAGAACTGAGTGAAAACCTGTACTAAGCGAAACAGCCCATTTTTGATTATTGTCATCAAAAATTAAAAAATTCACAACTCAGTCAAAATCTATCCGACCTACTTCGGAATCTCAGGAAATAGTCTATTTTCTCACAGCATACTGTAAAGCTCAATAAATGGTGAAAAAACCAACAGAAGATACTCTACCTGCTAGAAAGGCTTCCCAGAAACCTTCCAGACTAAAAGAATATTTTTTATTGATTTTACATACAGAATCAGAATGAACGGATAAAATAGACTATTTCTTGAGATTCCGAAGTAGGCCGGATAGATTTTGACTGAACTGTAAATTTTTTAATTTTTGATGACAATAATCAAAAACGAGCTATTTCGTTCGCTTAGTACAGGTTTTCACTCGGTTTTTGCATCTTGTTCTATAGTTAAAATATGTAGTGAACAAGTAGTTAAAAATTTAAAGAAATTTAGTGGTAAAAAGGAAGAAAACGTCATGAGGTGGCTCAATGATATGCAAGTTCAATTTGATGCCAATGGGTGGTCTGACGAAATCAAATTAACAATTCTACCAATAGTTTTAGTAGATAATGCATTAAAGTGGTATGCAAGACACTCAACATCAATTACATCATGGAAAATATTTTTGCAATTAATCAAACAAGAATATGGATCAAAATTTAAATAACAACCAGCACTTGAACGTATGTATAATTACAAACAAACTACAACACAGTTTTATTAAACGAATTTTATCATGGCATTTTGGACATTTGTCGTGATTTTGATCCAAAACCAACTGAACGAACCATACTGGATCATCTAATATCCAAGGTCAAGCCATTTTTTCTAGGATTCACATGAATCCGCATTGCAAAATGCATATGAACATGTGTTTTTGAAGATTTCACATATTACGAAGCTGGCGGTAAAATATTCGTTTCCAAAGGAACTCAAAAACGTGACCCTCCGCTCAAAAAAGTATCAAATCTCTTGCTTTAAGAGATGAAGCCTTGTTTCACACGGCATTCGAACCGCCTTGAAGCGGGGAACAAAGTTATAGCTGACAATCTCTGAATTTTTCCCGATGGCTCTTGTATTATTTTAACTTGTCTTTTATATTGCGAATATTATTTTCAGTACGACTAATTTCTGGATGAGAAGGTGGAAGTATTTTTCGTTTCATATCGAGAGATTTTTGGTAGTTTTGCAACGCTTGTTTGTAATCAGAAGTGTGTTCATATAAACATCCAATGTCATTATACATACCAGCAATATCGGGATGATTCGAAGGTAAAGACACAAGACGAATTTGTAAAGCTTTATTATAATATTTAAGTGCTGAATTATAGTCTCCTTTATCGTCGTAGACTACGCCCATTGTATGATATGTACCTGCGATATCAATATGATTCGAATGAAGTGATTTTTGCTGTATGTTAAGAGCTTTCTCGCAGTTGTATAGCGCCTTATCATAATCTTTAATTTTCCAATTTACCACTCCAATCCGACCATAACAGTCAGCCACCTCAGGATGATCACTGGGAAGAATATTTTCTCTCATTTCTAATGCCGTTTTATAATAACTGAGAGCTAGTGGATAGTCTCCTATTCTACGAGCAGATGCACCCAGACCTACATAAGAACTAGCTACAGTCAGTTGGGATTCTTGTAGTAATTGCTGATAATATTTGTATGACTTTTCATATTCACCCATGTGAATCAAAATTTTTCCAAGGGAATCAAAATTTGTTTCATCACCGATTTTCTCTTTCATATATACGAACGTTTCGTTCAAATCATAATCATCTTCACTTGATAATGACACAACTGCTAACCATACCCGATGATTTTCATTAAAACCCAACTTATTAATACGAAATATAGCTCCAAGCATAATCAAAATCTCATTCTCATCACTGTAACAGCTCAAGTGTTTAATTGCAGCAAAAGGCACTGTTGGTAAACGTGTATCAATATCAATTTCAAATAAAATACGTTGCATGTCTTGTGTAATACTGATAGTTTGCACAAAGTCTAACGCCGTTGTCCGATTTTTACTGGTGGACAGGAAACTATTCATTGATATAAATTCACCAATATTGTCTTTCATCAAATTCAATTCGTCCGTTGAAATTCCTTGACCACGATAGACGCGAATAATGGGTTCCCGATGAATCGTGCTGCGAATAAAGCGATTGTGTTCTTTTTTCAATTGTGTTGAAATATCAGTAATGAAAAATCGTAATGCAAATATCATGTCAAAGTCTTGTGAACGCAATGCTTTATTCAGAATGCGATAAAGACATGACTCTTTTGTATACCACCAAACTGAATTCTCTGGTTTATAATTTTGCTCGAATTCTTGAATAAGTTTTTCTTCGTCTGTGTTACCTTGATAATATTTCTTACAAATGGCGATCATTTCAGTTTTGGCACTCGATTTATGATGCATTCGAAGCAAGACTTCGATAAAAAGCTGAAACCAAAGGAACACTGCCTTTTTCGATTGTAGATTTTGTTGCGCATCTTTAGCATTGTCTAATCTAGTAAATATAGATATAGAGACATTAGTGTCTTCAATTTTTGAACGAGCTACTTGATCAGTAGATATCTCACATATTAATTTATCACGATGAACAAAAATACCTTTTACCTATGAAGGAAGATAAAAGAAGTTTTGAAATTGGAAAATGCTTCCAAAACTTTTACCTTAGGATAAGCTTTGGCCCACTTGTCATTTGCAGCTTTGTTTCCACAATAGATATAGCATGCACTAAATTGTGCTAAATCATGTAGGCGAGGGATAATTTCTTTACCAAACCGACCAGATACAATAAGAACAATTTTTTCGTTTTTTGCTTGTCGAATGTAGTCCTCGCATTTCTCCAAATCATCGAATGTTTGCATATAATTAATTATTTTGCGCAGTTGTTGTTGTGTTTCTAAATTATCTTGAGTTGAATTAACATCTTGATCCAGCCACAAACATGCATGAGTTTCCAAGTTAACAGAAAGTTTTTGTACAGATGCTTGGGTCGTTGTTGCGGCTGCCGCAAGAACTGAGTTTTTATTACAACCAGCTGCTGTGGATGGTTTGATCGTTGTCTTCTTACTCATTTCGCTCTATTGTAGTAAATAGGGTGAATAAGACGTGAAAATAAAAAGCTATCATTAAAAACTGTCTTATTTTGTTATAACTTGCACAGCCCATGTTAGCTTGATATAACAACTTGTTAAACTTTTCTTATATAGTAATAGATCAAAATTACCAATATATCTCCCAAAATATCCCGTTTAGGATATAGGACATCCAACTGTATTGTCGTTCGCGCAATTTAACCCGAAGTCTAGCGCCCTCCAAATGTTGAAACAATACCGAACTCTGTCAAAAAATGTTTCGTTCTTCGATCAGTACTTCATCTCACCGTTTTCACCTTCTGTTTATGCTCGGTAAATATAACCAACTGATAACAGAGAGATGTACACATATCATAAATTTTTGCTCATTCTTATTTGACACTCACGATGGTTAAAAAAATTCTAGTTTCTGGTGCGGTCGGCCTCGTTGGTGGTATACTAGTTGAACATCTGTCAAAAAACCCCAACTATGTATTTATGGTATCGATAAACATATTGAATTATCGACACTAATTCATGGACTGGATTTCCTCTTTCGCTATTATCTGACCGTGATACAAAAGGATAGACGACTCTGATTGAAAAAACGTATCTGTATTAAATGTTCTTTTAAGTTGGTTATGCACATCCTTGATAAAGAATCGTAAAAGAAAAGAGCAAGTTCGACATTTTCATGTCGAAGAGCTCTATTCACCAGTAAGAAAAGAAAACCTGATTGTGTATACCAGAATATTGCCTTTTCAGCGTCATAGGTTTTTTCGAATCGATTTAATCCCTTATGCTCTAAGTTTAATAATACTCTAATTTTGTATCAAATGTGAATTATATGACTTAACTGATTCAGACACAAGTACCCCAATATAGCAGCCCCTTCTGAAACTCCATAGTACAAAAAATGCAATAACTAGCAGAGCGTAAGGGTCTCGGTCATGAAAATGGTACATTGTTGGTGATTGACTATGGCGAGTCTGAAAATGACTATGAACGACCTTTAAGATCAATCCTATTGGCCCATTTTTGCACGCTACGCTTCGAAATATTTAGAGATATATTTACGTTGCAAACTCATTTGTCATACGATACTTTACGAAGAACGCTTTAAATAAAAGTGATAATAGTTTAGCAATAAGTGTACATCAATATTTAATGTACATGATGTTAGGTAGGTGAAAGATGACTAAGTTCTGAAATCTAAAACAGCAACGGGTGCGATTTTACAATTATTACATGCTCTCAACGCATGAAGATGTGATAATTATGAAATACTCCCTTCAATAGAACTTGGAAAATGTTATAAAAACATACAATACTGAAATAATTTTGGTAATAATAATGTATCATAATTAAGTTTAGAAGATATATAGCATGAACTAAATTATTTATGATAGCGTATCAAACAACAGTTATTTATTTTTAACAACCGCTTTTTTATTCATCAGCCTTGTTTTATCAAGAGGGTTTTGTGTGCTAACCAGTTCATAACTTAAAATTGATGACTCTAATTTGAGCGAATAGCGGTACAGTAGCAAAGCATTATCATATGAGGACCACACCACGTACAATCCTCGAATAAACTAACAATCCACGCACATTTGACGCTGAGTAATTGGCTAGAGTTATGCGATAAAATAATTGATTGATGTTGACATGTTTTCTGATGTTTTTGTAATATTAGAGATTGGCATGTATTTACTTGATAGATCAAAAAAACGTAATCGGATAAAGGATAAAATAATATTTATGAAACAACATTGATAGTATATAATTATGATACGTTTATTTGCGAATGTCATAACACACGTGTATGCAGTATCTTGTCATTCTGAAAATTAATGCAATAATTTTGGCTTGTTCTGCATAAACCCTCTCAAATTAGCATCTGAATCATTTTTTTGATGCCTACATTTTTATCTGATGAAGCATCATTTTTTATCGTGCCTAGTGGCTGTCCTTAGGCGAGTCGAGATTAATCGCTTTCATAAGGCTAAGCTAAAAATTGTTCGGAGTATATGACGATCTGTCCTAGTAGGATGAAAATTTCCAAAATTCAACAAAAGCACTTTTTTTGTCGAAACATCTCTTTCTGATGCGTATACACCTCAGGAACAAGGATCATATCTCTTCAAAAATTGGAAGATTAGGCTTTGAATGCGTTCATTTTTAAAAGTAAGAGAAAATGTATCTCGACGCATTTTTTTACATGGTGAATGGGGAAAGGTACAGACATACTTTATTTTCACATTATTAGCTAATTGAGTGTCTGTTCAAATATGACAATTAGGAGTCTGACTAAATTATAGATCGCTTATTAATCACTAACCTTTCTCTTTACCTGCTCAATAGTATGCAGGTCATTAGAAGATTTAAAAATCGACGGAACATACTCTGGGTTTTGAAAGGGTCTTCTAGAAATATTCCGAAGTACAAGAATGTTTTTTTCTAGTAAAAAATCGTTTGGAGCTGGTAAAATAGAGTAAATCTTGATATTCTGACATAACTTTTCTGCAGACACCAATACGAATCATGACCATGTTGGTCACTGCTTATATTTTTTCTGTTATGGTGCTACGACTTTTTCGGTTCGCTTGCATACTCGTAGATCGCACCGCAATCGGTCAGAAAATGAAGGTATTTCGATCCCGTCTTTGTGGTTAATGCTACTACCTGACTTGTTGTTGGTTCTTTTTTTTGATTGCGTTGTTTTAGTCTAATAATACATATGAATGTAATTATCATAATAATAATGCTGAAGCACCAGTTTTATGGGAAAAACCAACGAAACCTGCTCTGTTCTCAGTATAGTAAATACATCCGATCGTATGTATTTATCTGTTTATTGTAATTGTATTTATCGTAATAAAATGTTGTTAGTATTAATGATTTAGAGTATTAATTGTTAAAGACATTTCAACGTGGTTTAAATTGAACATGTGCAATTGATTCTTTTTCCTTTTTTTTGGTAGTTGCATTACTATAAACTAGTTATTTTTTTGCGATTATCGAAACAGTTGGAAACATGTTTCTGGATATGGCATACACAATACGTTTTGATACACAATACATACGAAGGGAAACATGACATGCGTTGAACGCATTGTATGGTCCATTCTGAATTACTCATTATTTATGTAATTTCATCACATGAAATAAGCCATGACTTTGTTGACATACGCTCTGTTAAGCCGTTACTGCTGTTCTCTTGCTCTCGTAATTCCAGCATATGTTATGAATCAAGAATATTCTTTCGATCCCATGCGCGAGGAAAATGAGCAACGTCATGCCTTTCATGTGATGCAATTACATGAATAAAGAGCAATCTTTCCTGCATCCCAAGCTTCGTCATTTAATTAGTTACTGTGAATAATGCAAAAGGAATAATTGCTGTGTCCATCCAACCCATATGTTCTTCATAGCGGTACTTTTAATCTTGAATCTGATGGTAACCTCTGCTACCAAATTCCAGCCACTCTTCGTACCCAGAGACGCGAAAGGCTTTGTGAAAAGCTTTAATATTTCCAGCTACGACAGTCCGGAGGCCGAAGAGGCGCACGCATTTTTTGAAGAATTTGGCTTCGTCGTTGCGGCCAATGTCTTTACTCCAGAGCAGTGCGAAAAGACAATCGCAGACATTTGGGACGTGATTGAGTCCTTCGTAGGAAAGTCTGTGCGAAACGATGATAATCTTTGCAGTCCAAAGTATGTTCGCTACTCTCTCTCTTTGACTCTTGCTTTCTTTGATTGTTCTTTCCATTTATAATCTATTTCATTGCTTTAGACTCTGGCATAAAATAGGTCTTCCGGAGATAGGCCTTATTGAAAACCCATTTTTCCAGGTGAGGTCAAAATGGGTTGTTCAAGGTGCCATAGGAGAAAAACTACATCACACCTGTGAATATGAGATTGACTTGAGAGCGGGACGATTTTGCGTTTAATCAATCCCCATCCTTTAGTGTGAAACATTGCCTTATTCCGAAAGCTCTCTAGGTAACTTTTTAAAGCAAACATTGCCATAAGATTTAGCATAGTCGATAACATATGTTCCATGTGTTCTAAGAGTTCCCAAACAGGAAGTTTAGCCGATAGGTGGGTCCTGGGAAAATGCCTATAGCTCCCGGACCATAGAGGATAGAAATTGAGACTTGTATATTTTTAAAGAGGACAGTCTAGAGGTTTGAACCAACCTGTCAGAATTCAGGTACCATTTTTGACATTTTAGTTGTTGGTCATGATAGGCAGAAACTTTGAGTTCATTTTTACTTTTTCAGTTACAAGTCATTCTTATGTCTGACTTTTTTTTGTGTACCATGGTATGTTACCAAAATAGAATCTATCATAATCTATAATAATAATCTATGGGTTTAAAATTGTGCTTATTAGAGATAACAATCGATATCGTTTATTAGTAAAAGAATCTTCGGCAATTTTAAGTCATAAATAAAAGCTGAATAATACAGTACGTTCCGTTTCGCTTTTCATTTTTCCGGAAGGAATTTCAAAAACTATAATCATAGATCCGGGTGGATAGAACATTTTCGTAACATTTCACTTCTCAAGTTGTCGTGCTGGTCTCGTTTCTAAAAAATTTAATAAGTACACTTACGATAATATCATGTATTATGTTATCTGTTTGATTTTATTTTCAGTCTGGACTGTAGTACATGTATATTCTTTCTTTTCTGCAACTGCATATTTCTCTCTCCCTAGTTTTATTTTTATATTTGTTTCACTATCTAGATGTTTCTTTGACGTTCTATTGCAGAGATATATGGACTGATTGCGCTGATATTGTACACCATTTCTAGGTAAATTCACACTAACAATGGCGTCGCGAACTAAACAGTGCTTTTTTGTCCCGCTAGGATCAGCGTGATGTAGCTCAGCCCAGACTTGACTTAGACCTTATCAAAAATATAGAAAAGATAGCTGACAGTTAGAGTAACATATTGATAAAAAAAAAGAAATTAATTTAATTATGTCTTTCGAAAAAGTCAATAAAATAAACTTACTTGGAAATTATTTTCTTTGATCGGACTATATACTAGTATCATCAGGGATTACAAAATAAAAACATTCCCGACTGTCACTTTCTTTCTTTCGGAAAAAATGAGCCTTTCGTTGGAGAGTCTCCTGTCCAAAACCATTAAATTTTATTTGTGCGTTTTCTCCGTCATGCAGCATGGAATTTCTTGACTATAGATAGTCAACCATGCTGATTCCGAATAATCAGCCGAACCGAATAATGTGAAAAAATGGTAAAAAAGTGAAAGTCAAATGTTCAATAATTTGAGAGATATCAATAAAATATTTTTCAAAAACTCGCGGGACATTTAGTGTGAAAATAGCCATTTTTAATCATGTTTTACTCCTCTCTAACGAAAGACAAAAATAAATTAATTTCTTTTTTTATCAATATGTTACTCTAACTGTCAGCTATCTTTTCTATATTTTTGATAAGGTCTAAGTCAAGTCTGGGCTGAGCTACATCACGCTGATCCTAGCGGGACAAAAAAGCACTGTTTAGTCCGCGACGCCATTGTTAGTGTGAATTTACCTAGAAATGGTGTATGAATTTGAAACTTATTCATGTTTTAAAAGTAGCATGTGTTTACTAGAATTTATTTGCAACGAGCAAGTTGAGATGTTCTTTTATTTAAATAAAAAATTGATTTTATTGTCGCTAGGTCTCAGCTAAAATCATAGTTTTTTCATATTGAGTTGCTAATAAATCGATAATCACTTGTAACTCTGAGTTAATTTTTTCAGTGGTAGTGAGCATAGTTTAGATAAATAACATATAAAAATTTCGCTACGATTCATTCACTAACAAAAAAGTTATAGCTTTTTTACATGTCGGATATGAACGGTACAATGGCAGCGCAAATCGCTCATATATAATTGCACGTAACTCTCGGCAAAAATTCAAATGGATCAGCCAGTATACTAGGTAGTACACATAAAATGAGTATTATTTAACAGTACATTATTCTTCCAATTTTCAAAATCAGTTGCGTTTAGTCTTTAACACTGCAAAACTGAAGCAGAAAAACAAATGTTAACAATCGTAGCATACATTTTTGAATGAATCAATATTTTGAGTGAGCAACGATTTTTTTATAAAAAATATAATGGCTAATGCAACTGTTTTTAATTTCATTTTTATTTTTTATTATTGTGAATTTTCAACCTTGGTTGGAACGGATAAGTCTCCAACTGGCTGAACGAGTACCGCCGATTTGACACACGCCAGCTGTTCCGGACGATGTCTCCTCAACTTCGCCCTTCTCTTTCAACACCGACCCATCTGCTGGATGAACTTCAGTGTCTGCTGACGCTGTTCGAAGAATGGAGAAACTCACGGTGACCCTTCGAACGATCGAAGGACACGCGGTGTGACGACGGTTGCGAGAAAATGACCTCGAGGTGAAGAAGAACTCGAAACTCCGCTGGAGATCTCTAGTACTTGTTCGATAGGCTAAACACGTGGATGGACAAGTGAATCGATGTGGTCTTTGTGATCAAAGAGAGATCAAATGTTTGTCAACCCTTGTGCTCATTATTAAGTCGAACACAGGAGAACTGTTCGATCAGATATGGTCTTGGATCGGTGTGCTTGATCCGCAGAGTGTCAGTGACGAGTGTAAGCGAAGCGCTGTGACATTAATGATTAGTTGAATTTGTTCAGTTTCGAAAATTGATTCAAATCGGTTAGAAGAAGGGAATCACACTGCACAATGGTCGTTGATCAAATGACCAAGAGACGTTGTTTTATTTCTCGTTGTCATCCGGGTCCAGGGATTTTTTAAGTTTCTCATAAAAATCCCGATATTAAAATCCCTACCCCCTTCTGGTACAGGTGGTGAACATACTGAATCACAAGAAGGTATAGTCGTGGTTTTGGCTACATCAATTACAAATCTGTTGAAAGTTTTATTAGAAAGCTTACACATAGTTATTCTGGAATAGTACAGTAACAATATAGTAAGATGCCGAAAATTCAAAATTCACGCAAAAGTTTTCGCGTTTTTGACATCGTTAGATATAGTTCATGGTAGAGCAGGAAAACGTAAAGTTTAGATTATTGAAAATCGAAGTTTTGAAGTTTGATAAACTGCGAAAGGCTCGATATATAAAGAAACAAAAAATTCAAGTTAAACGGATAATTTTTTCGATAAATTAAAATAGTTTATTAATGCAGTATAACAAACGGCTAAGAACGTTGTTGGTTTGAATAGTATAAACGGACTACTATGTTGATTCAGAACACGTAAAAAATCCGTAGAAAATTGTCCGGATTTGGATGCACATTGGAAAAACCAACCATTATACCACTGTAAAAACTTAATTACTAAAGGTAATCGTGGTTGATGATTCTTAGTCGCAGTAAAATCACCACCTCGTTGATAAGTTTTAATTTCACCATTTTTATCAGTTTTTATCAGTTTTAATGTCGGTGTTTTCCAATCATTTGTGATCACTGTAAGCCAACATTCTTCACTGATTGCTGAAGCACGACGATTGAAAATATGAGAAATGTCTTTTAACTTATGATAATTCTCTGCAAATACTTTTCCCAACTCTCTTGCTTGTCTACATGCATGTGTCATGCCTTGTCCTAGTGCAGGATTAAATGTACACATTGCATCACCTAATAATACATAATTTTGAGGCCATTTTTTTCCTAATAATTCGACATATTTTCGATCGTCAATCGCACGATGATATGGAATCAATGGACTACATACTTTTGTTGATTTTAATATCGAATAATGTTCTGGATCTAGATTTTCTTTTGACCATTCTAATAAATTTTCATAAGAATCATTTGGTGGAAATTCTGAATTAACGCAATGAATCGCAAATGTTGCTAATGTTCCTAAGGAATTTTCATCCGTTGTTTTTATTGAACGTATTGGTGTTATATAGCAACCTGTATTTTTATTAGGGGCATTAACTGTACAACAATTTATAGGCATTGCATCCACCAATGGATCTCCAGTTTTAAATCTTTCACCAACAAATGTAACATAGCCACAACCAAAATGGATTTGCACAGTTGGTACAATTAAATTCAAACTCTCTTTTAACCATTTATCTGACGATGAATTGCGGCCACTACAATCGATAATAAAATCACCGTACATATCAAATGATGGTGGACCAATATTTTGTTTAGACCGATATTTGACGCCTTTAACAATATTTAATGATTGATCAACAATAAGTTTTGTTACTCTTGAATTACATTTCCATTCAATTTTATTTCCAAATTGTAAACATAATTCTTTTCTCAAAACTGTTTCTAATGTAAAACGATCAGCACCTAACCATTTAATGTCTTCTGTTAAATTTTGATTTAATAATACACCATTAATAAAGAGTCTTGATTCAGTTTTTAATGAATAAGTACGAATACCATATTCATTGAATAATTTATCGTCTAGTTGAGGAAATAATTCACACAATATTTTATGTCCTTCACCTTCGAGTGCATGTAACTGATATATTTGTGAAACACCTGAACGTCCTATTGATACTGGACTTTCAAGACGACAACGATAATCTAATAGTTCGCTGGGTGTAGATTTCATTAATCTATCACCCATTACATCGTCTGATTCGATAATTGTTATTCGTGAGAAATATTTCGATAAATAAGCAGCAGTCATCATTCCTCCAACACTGCCTCCAATAATTATGGCATGATCATACTGAGGGACATTTGAAGAAAATTCCGTTGATTTACTGTTTTTCTTGTAAACCATATACGAAATGATTCCCAAAATGAATGGTATCACAACCCAATACATGATGCAGTTTTCAACGTAATAGATTACCAATAAAACTGCTTATTATTAATAAATATGACACAATTACGAAAAAGTAGTAACAATCCGCGATAATATATATGAGTGATTCTGATAAAAACAGCACCGTTTTTCCAAAAAAATTTGACTCAAACAAGAGGTAAACACCTAGGTTTTCTCTTATCATACATCGATAGTGTGTACCTAGGAGTATCACAAAACACGGGTTAGCAAACTACCATTACTTTGTTTTCCAGATTTGAAAAACATTTTTCTATTATCGGCGTCAAAACACCGTGCACTTGGTTGCGCTTTGAGTATCTTTTGATAGACAAGAGCTAGAGAGCTCCAATTTTTGCCATTCGAAAGAGGAGACTTGGGGCATGCATCCATAAGCAAAATTGTTTTCATAATAGTTTTTTGAAGTAGGTTTTCTAGGATATCTTTACAACACTATGCCGTCTGTAAACATTTTCCAATAGAATTGTATTACTTTTTTCTCATAGGCTGACAGCCTGAGATGTTCTCTTCAAAATGGGAGTAAAATGAGACCTTGATTTCCGCGGTTCGAGCGTTGTATCAGATTTTCTACGAGTCCCAGCACTGGCACCCGGTGACTGTTGGTAGCCTTAAAGATGGATGCTCTATGAGTAATTGACCATGCTGAGTTTCGTGGCAATATTTCTTTTTCTAAAGTTTCAAAAACTTAGTGAAACATACATTAGGTGAAATATCCTATTTTTGCCTATTTTTGAGTAAAATTCAAAAATACATAACTGAGTCAAGATCAATCCAAGTTCTGTCAGAATATCAAGATGTACTCTATTTTACCTGCTCAACACTATGCAGTTTAATAGCAGCTTTACAAGTCGACAGAAAATACTCTGATTTTTGAAAAGGTTTTCTAGAAGTCTTCCGAAGTACAACAATGTTTTTTACTATTCTCAAGTAAAAAGCCGTTTGGAGGGAATAAAATACAGTACATCTTGATATTCTGACATAACTTGGATTGGTCTTGACTCAGTTATGAATTTTTGAATTTTACTCAAAAATAGGCAAAAATGGGATATTTCACCTAATGCATGTTTCACTAAGTTTTTGAAACTGTTTAGAAAAACAAATATTGTCACAAGATTCAGCATAGTTGGTAACCTATGTGTTCATTCATTTCTGACGAGAGTTTCCGATTAGGCGGGGAAGTGGGGGACCTCCTCACACTAAATTTTGACACTGTCCGCGAAACTTTTGGAGTTTGTGTTCTGCCTTCTTTTAAGCCCGGATTGTCCGTCAGAATAACTGGTAGACAGTCTCACAACTAATGGCAGAGGAGTCCTACGGCTTCAAGAAAAATTTCCGTAGGTCTCGAACCATGAATTTTCCATATGTCGCAATCACCCCCACTATATTTTGAAATGCATAGTAGTCAGATGTAGGCAATTCAAACTTCAAGTAAACATTTTTTGCCTTTTCTTCACATAGACCGATAGAGTGTTAGCCGCTGATCACGAAAAACTAGTTTTTAGCTTCAGCAAATGTCTTTTTCAAGTCGAAAAATACGAAAAACTTGAACGGACTAGTTTTTTTCTAAAAACACAACTCTTTCAAAATGTGCAAAATTTTCTGCTTTCTTCTTTTTACAAGCTTCTGAAAATACTTTTCCAGATTCAGCATCAAAAACTGAGTATAGACAAGTTGTTAAATCGACTCTTAAATTGTAATTCTTATTCTCACATTATATATACACATCTTTAAAAAACGGTGACTGGACATTTCTCGGTATTTTCTACCTTTCTCCCGTATGAAGCAATCTTAGTCTTTGCTATTTATACAGGATCATTGTGTGAATAGACAATACTTATAGTAGAACAAGAAACTTTCTTTCAAGTTCGGTTGAGGCGTGGCATAGTAGGTGATTACGGGACAAATTGCTTCAGTAAAGTGGGAATTACTTGGTAGTGAAAACTGATAGAAATGTCGGATTTTCGCTATTGTGTATTCTATATATTTACTCAACTTTTGGCATATAAAGAAAGGAAATTAAATAACTTACCAGAGCTATCAAAGACCATGTGGTTATGGGACACAGAAAGGGCTTTTTTGGGATCACAAATTCTGAAGAAATTTATGAAAAAACAGAATAATCGGTAACAAAGGTAATGATGTAACTGAGTAGAGCGAAGAAAATTATATAAGAAAGAGAAAAGAGAAATATTTCTCCACATAAAATAACAGACAATATAACATTTACAAAACCAACGTATCTGAATCACTAGAAAGACAACATCAAAATAAAGGTCAAACATGCATGTTTTTCTTATAATTCGTTAACGATTAAAGATAGAAAAGTCGTACTAGCAGCGATTATAAGCCTAACGTTGTTGAATATATGCGAGAGTTCCGAAAGTGATTTATCAAGGCTAAGAAAAGAAATGCTTAGGATCATTTACTTCATTCGAACGATACTATTTTTATCATCACTCATATGATTCTTGGTCCTTTCTAATGCAGATAAACAAAGGAAGGACAGAATGACGTTATCTGAAATGCACATGTTAATGGATAAATAAATATAGGAGGCTATTCTTTTTCTCACATGAAATCCGAATCATTTATTATTGAATATCTTATATATATTCGCAGATGCACATATATATACGCGCATGCAAATACTCTAGTGCTTGAAAAATTTAAAACTTAGTTAAAACTAATCTAATAGTTATACGAATAGCTTGACATATGTAACTTCGTATGCTCTATGAAATGGCTACTGTGAAAATCCGAAATTCCATTGAAAATTTCATGGTCTGGTTTTCTAGAAACCTCACTTGCTTTTCAAGGAGACTTTAAAAGATCCCAAAAATCTCATCATGGCTCGTAATACTACACTTGGTGTACTCCAACAATATCGTTCCGGCGAGTTATAAATTAATTAAAATAAAATTTTAGCAAAAAGTTTAATTGCTCGATCTATTTTTAAAAACTTAACTGTTTAACAAATTAAAAATTTGAACTTCTCGTTTCGAAATACTATTTTTCTATAGAGTATAGACAAGTTGTTAAATCGATTCTTAACTCCCAAAACTCTTTTAATGGTGGCACTTCGAATCGCATCGAGTGTGATGCCTATAGGTCGATTTTATAAACCTATCTAGTTTTTCTATGTAAACGATGAAGGAAAATATTTTATCTCATTCGACTCATCATACCACGCGTCACAAAGTTACACATTCTTTTGTTCCTTTTCTCTCCTTTGTCGAGAAAAATGGTTTTTATCGTATGACACGAAAAAGGGGGAGGTAATTTGAGTCCTTAAAAAGTAAAGTCTCCTGGAAAAGCAAGTGAGGTTTACCTCACTTTACCTCCCCCTTTTTCGTATCATACGATAAAAACGATTTTTCTCGACAAAGGAGAGAAAAGGAAAAATAGAATGTGTAACTTTGTGACGCATGGTATGATGAGTCGAATGAGATAAAATATTTTCCTTCATCGTTTACATAGAAAAACTAGATAGGTTTATAAAATCGACCTATAGGCATCAGACTCGATGCGATTCGAAGTGCCACCATCAAAAGAGTTTTGGGGTTAAGAATCGATTTAACAACTTTTGTCTATACTCTATAGAAAAACAGTATTTCGAAACGAGAAGTTCAAATTTTGAATGTTAAATTCGAATATGCGGACAACTCGGTTTGCGTATATTTTGCAAGCCATATTAGGCTTAATCTTGTTTTGGGCGAGGTCACGTTATGTGGAAATTGTAATTGTTATTCTCACATTATATATACACATGTTAGTGTTATTATAACATTAAAAGATCCCAAAAATCTCACCATGGCTCGTGATAGTACACTTGGTGTACTCGAACTATATCGTTTCGGGCGAGAAATCCGCCCGGTTCTCGAGAGAAAATCTTTCTCCAAAATAACTGGTTCGATGTTTTGGGCTCTCACGAGATCATCTGCTGTAAATAACGGAACCATGTCTGGAGTTCGTGGTTGTGTGAGTTTGTAGTAGACACTATGTAGGAGTTATGATAGAGTTTTTAAGTCTAAGTAATGTGTCGTTACGAAGTTGTACGTAGCTTAAATGGACAGTTCCGTAGATGCCGGAATTTGTGCGTTTACCAAGTTACATATGTCAAGCTGTTTTTATAACTATTCGACTAGTTTCGATGGAATAAGTTTTACAAATAATTTATTCTTCTACGAGGTCGTATCAATGAATCATGTATGAACTTGATTGGGGGCTTGATTTCCTTCTAAATCTTGAGCATTTATAAAAAGTGTATACCATCCTTTTTTTAAATTTTTCATATACATGGATAAATTACATAATATAAACTTCATTCCATCGAGTGTATCTACTGAACAAGTAAAAAATGATTCTTCATTTACAGTCCACGTAACCGAAGCAGTACTATTTGTTGTTCTTGGTGAAACAGAAAATTTGATAATCGGTGGAGTTATATCCTTAACTTTGAATTGCCAGTATGTTTAATTTTTAATGGCTTATGGGTCTGTGCCACACTGTTCAAAACTATTCACAGCACCATTATCAAATATGATATAACGAGAAATAACTCGTGGAAAACCACGGACGCCCAGCATTTATATATGTTGTAAAAATTTTCTATGTTGAGCGTTCCGGACAGAAGGACAGATATGTGTATATTCTTATTCTTATTCTTATTATTCTTATTCTTATTCTTATTATTCTTATTCTTATATTCTTATTCTTAATTCTTATTCTTATTCTTATGTATATATGTTGAGCGTTCCGGACAGACAGACGGACAGATATGTCTTGACTATTCTTATATGTAATAGACTTCTTTTTCTACGAATGGATATTGAGTATTGAAAGTTAAGCTAAGATTAATACGTAATCTTGATGAATAAGATTCTATTTTTCTACTTGAGAATTATTCGAGTTGAAAATTTTATATAAGCCAAACGGGATGATTTTTGAATCGGTTTGTTGAAATGAATAAACCACGTTGATAC